AGGGATTAGGATGTATTATTGCAGATGAACATCAAGAACAGACACTTGGTAAATATATTAAATGATCTATTATATAGTTTATTTAATATAGTTTTATTTATTTTTTTTATTTAATAAATAGGGCTTGGGCAATATCTTTATTCAAAATATAGTTATTTATCATATGAAGAACATTTAAAACATATTTATAAATTATGTTAAATCTATTTTAATCAGTAAATAATTTATTATTTATTATTACAATTATTAATATTTATGAAGTTACTAATATATATATTATAGCAATATTCGGAATAAAGCTATTTCTAAAGAAACAAAAGAATTAATATATTCTATTATTAAATTAATCAACAAGATGAAGTATTAAATGTATTAGAAAAAATCAAACAATCTGATGAATCAGGAGTAGCAGTTTTTTTTTAATTTATAATTATATTATTTTTATGCAAATTGTATATATGGTATATTGATTTATTTAAACAAAAATAGAGTAGGTCAAAGATAAATGTAAACCATAAATATTGGCTAGACTTTCACCAGTATTTACTAAAATGAAAGTTAAAATTTGGAATTAAATGCCAAATAATACTAATATTAGTGAATCAGCACATGCTAATATAAATCATGATGGTCAATTATTACTTTATTAGCAGCAATATAAGGTAAATAATTTAAAATCTTGATATCAATACATATAAGATAGAAAGAATAATTCAGCAGATTTAAAATTTATCAAATTGTTAACAACTTTAATGATAATTATGATAATTATCTATAGTATTACTTGCTCTGTATACAATTACATAAAATCTTTTAATCAGAATTGGTTTTTAAACTATTTAATTCATCTTGATAAGATGAATTGAATAGTATAAGAACTATTAATTTTCAACTGATAATCATGTATAAACTTTACTACAATTTAATTTGCTATTTTATCTATTTAGAATTACTTCTTTTATCTTATATTTAAAAAAATAATTTTTATTGATTTATAGAGGTGATAATTTTGATCAATGTAATAGGATTCAGCAAAAACATATGAAAAGTATAATATACGTGAATCATATAGAAATAAATTCGAATTAGCCTGTTTGACAAGTAATTTTAAAAGAAGCCGTAAGTTTAATTAATTTTTTTTTAATAATTTATATAATTTAATTTAATAGTTCATATATTTATTTAGAAAAGCAAAAAAATAAAGGCAAAGAACCCATCTCAAGATCTATACAAAAAAAATGCAAAAACCAAGTATCAAATGAAAAAAATGAGGATTCTATATCAACTTTAACCATGGTTCCTATGTCACAAGAACAAGACAATTATATTGAATGAGAAAACAAAAAACTTGAATTGTGACAAAAAAACTTGAAAATTCTTAAGGAAGAAATTTTATTACGTGAAAAACTTAATAGTTTAAAACAATCATAATGCTTTTTTATTTCTAAATAATTTTTTTTAAAAAAATTAGTGGTATAAATATGAAATACCATAAATAAATTTAATGTATTTTAAAACATTTCTACTGCTGTAATTTTATAAAACCAAATTTAATTGCACAAATTATTATTAGTAATGTTAAGAATAATAGCCAACTTCTTGTAGCATTGAATGTTTAAGTAGGATACAAAAATTCGAATCTTTATCGATAGACAAAGAATGATTAACTGCGAAAATCTTTTTTTTTTTTTTAAGTCTTTTTTTTTTTTTTTTTCTTAAGCTAATTTTTTTTTATTTGTCTTTCTCTTTTTGTTTAACCCGCTTTTTTTGAATTTTGTCTTTTTCTGGACCTT